TACACAGCCATGGCTGCAAAGAAGCCGGGTAGCCTGTTTGCCCCGCCAAGATACGGGTCGGATAGCCCTTGCCCGATAAATCCGCTCAGAGAGAAAGAGAACAGTATCATCACAGCCTCATGAATCCAGGATTACCAAAAAAGAAAAGGATATTATTATTGCTGCTGTTTCAGGGAAAATTGAAGAAATTGTAAAGAAGCTCAGAAAGAAAGAGACCGTCAGCTTCAGAACCACGAAATCTGAGGGCTAAACCCTGAGATTTGGGGGGTATGTTTAATGTTTCCATACTTCAATTCCATGAAAAGGGGCTGTTGAATTGTTTTGGAGATGAAATCAATGGCGTAGCAGAGAGGGTCAACCACCCTCCAAGAAACCCTTATCTCTCTGCATGCCTCATTCATGTGTGTTGGATGTGGATGTGAACCAAAGTACCAAACAGACAATGAAAAAAGTTCAACCTTTTGGAAGAAGAGTCAGAAGACAATGGAAAGAGTTCTACTACAGCGTAAACCCTCGGAACTCATGAACTTGTGTTCCTTTTGGTACTTACTACTTATACTAGTTTTACTCGTCAAGACAATATCATGTCCGAGCAAAAACTATCTCAGTCGTTACTGGATCAATGACTCCTAGGTCCCAAGTGTTACCTAATTTTTCTCGTCAAGACAACATCATCTCTGAGTAAATACTATCTCAGTCGGTACTCAATCAATGATTGTAATACTCCAGTCGAAAATCAGAATATTTGGTTGTCTTCTCTAAAAACGTAAGAGATCATAGTAGTCCAATTTGATTAAGAGATTTTTGTAATTACTTGCAATGTTCCAGTCTCAGGGCTATCTTATGTGGTCCCCATGAAGGTGTTGATAATGGTTTCAGAGTCGAGTTCCACATCCACCGCAGTAAGACTCAATTCTCGCACTAGTGACAAACTCTCACGAAATCTCCAAAGCTCTGCAACAAAGCTTGTAATTTTGCCAATTTTCGCAATTAAGTCATGAATCCAATTCCCTTCATCATGATAATCCCGCCAACATTCCCTCTTTTCGATAAATTAAATATGAAGCTTAAAGGTCATAAAGATGATTGCAAATTGTTTGCTGGTTGTAAGTGGATGAACAAGTTTTTTTTTTGAATGCGTGGATGAACAAGCTTGTAGCAGTGTTCATTTGTAATGGTCCCGACAGACCACCACAACAATTTACCATACTCATCCTACAAACAACAATAAACAACATAATGATCGAGAGATTGGTCCTCACATTACAACACAAATACAAATTATATTATGCTTTATGCATATATAAATCACACGGCAAACCCTAGATATGCTTTATTGGCATTCTACTCCACAAAAAACACTCGACCCAAACAACACAATGTAATTCACTATAAACTTCATACAATTTTAACTCTTAAAAAAAAACTATTTCTTACTTAATTGTAGCGTAAATGGGATAGAACCCATTCCAATCGCATATGAGTTACGCACTACAGTAGGCAAAGTCAAGGAGAGTTGATGCCCACACTTCGGTTTTCTATGCTTTCTTCCCTCTTCTCTGCTTCACACTTCGTTCTTCGTTGGTTGAGATTTTAAGAAATTAGGGTTGCAATTTCATCAAATTAGAAATTAAGTGAAGTCTACTGAGAAAACACATTCCACCGTTTCCCCCCTTTTTTTACAAATATAAATTGACCACCGCCTAATATTATTTAATAAACAACGAATTGTGTTTTTCCGGTCAAATTTCACCGGTGATTTGGCCGGAAAGACAAAATCTGTCAAGAAAAACATAGTTAAAGGACTAAATTGTTAGTTTTAAAAGTCATAAACTGAAATTAACACACCCTTAATAGTCATAGGACCAAAACTGTAATTTTCTCTTGTAAAATATTTTAAAACTTTTTATAATAATAATAATAATATTTTTTTTTTGGATCAGAAAGGAGGGGGAAACCCAACGCAGCTAAGAGCAGCAGCTCATTGTCTACATACACGTCTGGTCGATGCAGCTCCTACCCTATCGAGGGCAAGCAACTCCTCCGTTTCCAGAGGAGGTGTTTCAAGAAGTATATGGTCCTCCTGCTGAGAAAAAGCCATGTCCGCTAATTTATCCGCCAGGCGATTTTGTTCTCTGTAAATGTGAACAAAGCGCAGATCTGGAAAATCTTCTGCTTCCCTAATGCAAAGCCTCGTGATATTGTTTAAAAGATGTCCATCGCCGTCGCCCTGCCGCAAGGCCTCTACCAAAGGTTTCGAATCACACTCGAGAACAAGGAGCCGTACACCATAATCTTTGACCATCCGCAAGCCCTGCAGAACACCCCAAGCTTCCGCTACGTCTGTCGTACACCTGCCAATTTTGTAGCCAAAACCTCCGAGCCAGGTCCCGTTGCTATCCCTGAGGACACCCCCACAAGTCGCTTGGCCATCATTCCTTCTGCTGCCATCCACGTTTAATTTCAAGCTACCCTCCACCGGTCTCGTCCAAGCCAAACTAGCCTCGATGTCCCGATTGTACCTTTGTAACGGCCGGCTTTTGTCTAGGAAAGCGCTCGCAATTTCCCCATCGCAACGTCGCAGCCAGTCCAGCTTGTGATCCAAAGGCACGTTAGTGCCATTAAAAGTTCCCTCATTCCGCCACCTCCACAGCCACCACATTCTAGTCGCAAACCGCTCAGGCCAACCCTCCACAAATCCGTCCTTCATATTACCGTGCAGATTTGTTTTGAGCCAGGCTTCCCAGTCGAGGTTTTGCAATCTCTCCGTCGCGTGCCTGTGTAGGGCATGCTCCCAAATATGCGACGCCGCAACACACCTACGGAACAGATGGTCCATATCCTCCCGCTTACCTGCACAAAGAAAACACATTTCATTAGAAGTCAGGTGTCTCCTTGTGCGCTCATAATTCGTCATGATTTTCTGGTGTTTAGCAAGCCAGAGAAACATCGAGATTTTGGCCGGCACTTTCAGCTTCCAAATCAGAGTCCAGTCCTTGTCCACCTCCCTCGCTATGGGCGCAATCGCCAGGCTATATGCTGATCTCACTGTAAACCGTCCTTGTGTGTCCGGGCCCCAGCCCCACTCATCCTCGACGTTTGGCTCTGCTAGGCAAAACCCGGCGAGGCGCTCTAGATCGTCACTTGGAAGGTGTTGTCGCAATACCTCCCATTTCCATCCTCTGGCTCGATCCCAATATTCATCCACCTTTGCGTAGAACTCGGAGAGCCCCAAAGATCCACTCAGCTTCTCGTACAGCGGTTTTGGGGTAAGCCATGCATCCAGCCAAAAACGAGTCGTCCTCCCATTCCGAACCACACGCATGAGTCCGGATTCCAGAATACCTGTAGCAGCCACAATTCCTTTCCAAGCATTTGAAGTGCTTCGTCTACCTGACCCAAATCGGATCAAGCTGGTTCTTGCTTGTACTTACTAGTTAAAGTTCGTGTCCACAAAGCGTCTGGTTCTGTTTTAATCCTCCAACACAGCTTCGTCATGCACGCATTGTTCATGGCATGCATGTTTCTTAAACCCAGTCCTCCACGTGCCTTCTCTGTAGTGAACACCTCCCAATTTACCAGGCTCATTTTTTTCTCCCATGTTTGGTCGTTTTGCCCCCAAATGAAACGCCTAGTCCGTTTCTCAATCTCATTGCAGATGCCCTTAGGAAGATAGGCCGTTTGCATTGTATATATTGGAATGGCATTAAGAACTGATTTTGCCAAGGTGACTCTCCCCGCTAAGGATAGAGTTTTGGCTTTCCATCCCTCTAGACGGGCCGAAATCCTATCCAAAAGCCCCGAATAGGTATTGCACATAACCCTTCCATGCAGAGATGGTACGCCCAAATATCTCCCCAAATCCTTCGTCTCCGCAATGTTCAATTTCGTGGCCAAATCTTGCGCACGATCGGATGGAGTATTCTTCGAAAAAAATACTTGAGACTTGCTCAGACTGATTTTCTGTCCGGAGGCTTCGCAGAAGGAACGTAGGCATTCCTGTACCACCTCCACTTGCTCGCAAGACGCCTCGGTAAAAAGCACCATATCATCTGCAAAACAAAGGTGAGATAAAATAGGCCCGGATAGGGCAGCTTGATGCCTTTCCAAGCCCTATCTTCCACCTTTGCCACAATAAGTTGGCTCAACCGTTCCATGCATAAGACAAAGATGGCTGGGGACATGGCGTCACCTTGGCGGATTCCCCGCTTTGGTCTGAACTGCTCCAGCCTCTCGCCATTCCAAATAATCGACAACCTGGAAGAAGAAATACAAGTCATTATAATATTTATCCAAAAATCCTCAAAACCTACTTGAAACAACGTGTCCCGTATAAAAGCCCAGGAGAGCCGATCATAGGCTTTCTCCAGGTCCAACTTGATCGCCATGTAGTTTGTTTTCCCCCGCGACTCACGCATTGTGTGCATCACCTCTTGGTATACAATAACATTGTCCGATATTTGCCGTCCCGGGACAAAGGAGCTTTGATACGGCCCCACAACTTTGGGTAGAACTTGCTTTAACCTGTTCGTGATTGTCTTTGTCAGAATTTTATAGCTCACGTTGCATAGGCTGATCGGCCTGAATTGCTTAATCGATTCCGGGGCCAGAACCTTCGGGATCAGGGCGACTAGGGTATCGTTAATCCCTTCCGGAAGCTGACCAGTCTGAATCGCGTCCTTGACCAACTGAAAAATGCTGTCCCCCGTAATGTCCCACATATGTTGATAAAACCCTGCTGGGATGCCGTCCGGGCCCGGCGCCTTAAACGGTTTCATGTCAAAGACCGCCGCTTGAACTTCCTCCTTGGTCACTGCCCTGTTAAACACCCTCCAGTCTATGCTACGAATGTGGGGAAAATTTGCGCCTAAATTCAGATCCAACACCCCCTCTTCAGACCCAGCAAACAAATTGTAGTAAAACGACCTAACATGGTCCCGCAACTCGTCACCGTCCTGCATCCACCTCCCAGTGTCGTCCTTAAGCCCCAGGGCCTTCGTTCACGACTTCTTCACCGTGGCGACCGCGTGGTAAAACTTGGTATTTCTGTCTCCTGATCTGATCCAATCTGCTCTGGATTGCTGGAACCACAGCAGTTCCTCCTGATAAAGCGTGTCCTCCAACTGAGATTGTAGCCTTTTCTCTAGTCTATAAAGACCCCTATGGGCCCCACGTGTTGTGGCCCTTTGAATGCCACCTAACCTGGCCAAGAGGTTGCGTTTGCGTATGTGGACATTGCCAAACTCTTCTTTATTCCAGTTCGTCAAGCCTTCCGTGACCCGTTGGATATTATCCGCCAGGCTAGTGTCGGAATTCCACGTCCTGCTTACCACCTCAGGCAGATCACAATGTGTGGTCCATGCTGCCTGAAAAAGAAAAGGACTAACATTATTAGGGCGTTGCCGTCCTTGCAGACGAATTAAAAGCGGCGCGTGGTCCGAGGCTACACGTGGCAAGTGCTCCACCATTGCGTCGGGAAAGCAGCCTCGCCAGTCAAAGTTGCACAAAGCCCGGTCCAGTCTAGCCCCTTTCAAGGAATCCGTGGACCCGTCTTTAACCCAAGTTAAACGTGAACCTGCAAAGCCCATATCAATAAGGCCCTCGTCTTGAATCCAATTAACAAAATCTGAGCTCCGCTGGGCCGAGAAGGAAACATAATTCATCGTTTCCTCCCTCGAGGTTACTGAATTGAAATCCCCAGCCACCATCCACGGGCCCTGCGGGCCTCGTTTTGACTGGGACAAATCTCTCCACAGCCTTCGTCTCAGGTGGTGGGCCGGGCTCCCATACACTGGCGCAAACATCCAGGGCGGTTTCCCGCTTTGCCTAACCTGAAATAGAATAAACTGGGGGTGAGTAAACAGGATGTCTAGGTGCACCGGTTCCTTCCAGAGGACCCAAATGCCCCCACTGAAGCCCACCGCCTCCACGCGGACCCAATCCGAAAACCCGAGATTGGAACAAATCTTGTTCGCCTGAATCCCCGAGACTTTTGGTTCAAAGAGTCCCAAGATAGTCGGCTTGTAAACCTGCAGCATGAGATTAAGGGCACGGTGGATCGCCCGTCCACTCGCCCCTTGACAATTCCATAGCATAAGATCCATAAAAGATTAAAAAAATAAGGAAACAAACAAGCTTAAAACAAAAAGCAGACCACACCAGAAAAACCAAAAAAACGAAAAGCCTTACTCAACGGCCATTGCCGGCCAGCTCCCCCTCAAGAGATGCTCGAATCTCCCCTAACTCCATCAGCGCGTCACCTTCGTTGTCGAACCGTTCTGGGGGGTCCGTATGGTGCTCCTTTGTGTGCTGCCAGACCGGTGACGGGAGGTCACCCATCTCGCTTCCGGCCAGAACTCGTGATGAGTGTATAACAAGACCCCCCTGCTTTCCACGAACGACAGTGTGTTCATCTTCTTCCGCCGGTCTTCTATAGCCCCCTTCGACCCCTCGGCGAGACGCCACTGCCCCTTCCCCAATTCGTACCGGAGATCTGTTCAAAGAAATTGGTTCGTTTTGTATTTGTTTCTCCACCGCTATAACATTTGGGCGCCTTGTGTTCGTGATCCCAGCTCCCTCGGCACGTTTTGCTCTTGGCGATACTGCCCCACCATGCGTTTGCACAGTCTCGCGGTCCGTTCCACCATTCCCAGCCACCGCCTCCACCTCTTAGACTTCCTCATCATCCTCACCGTCTGCCAATGGCGCAAACCTGGACGCCGGAACTTGAGCATTTCTCCCCTCTGTAGATCCCAGCTTACGCTCTTGGGACACACGGGTTGGCTATCTGTTTGCCTCCAGGTCTGCCCTTCCTCCCTGGCGCTATCATCCATTGTCCAAATGGCTCGGCACCAACAGCGATCCCGCGTGGCATTTCAGGGACCTTAGCCGCCACCTCGTTCTGCTGTGCTTGGTCTTGGGAGGCCTCAGGCCTCACTTTCTTTGGACATGCATCAGGGGAGTGCCCGTAAATTCCACAAGAAAAACATATCAGATGTATACCTTCGTAGGCCACCGAACGCACTCGATCCTTGTATTTAAACTTGGATATCAATGGCTTTGAAATGTCGACCTCTACACATATGCGCGCGAACATCCCTCGTGACACCAGACTTGTGGCCTGATCAACGCGTATTGTCCTCCCTACCTTGTTCCCAAGCTTCCTGAGAAAGATCAAGTTATAGTACTCAGCAGGTAAACAAGGGATTCTTACCCAAACTAGCACCTTCTCTGTAACATCCGAGAAGGGATCGAAGTCCGGCACCCATGGTTTGACTAGCAAGTAATGATCCATGACCATCCAAGGGCCCTCGAACATGGCATGCTCCAGATCTTCAACCGCGCCAAACCTGACGATGAAGTATCCATTATCGATCGCAATTAGATCCATCTTCCCCTTTGGTTTCCACATGGAATTGAGCCGGCGTAGAAGATATGCGTAACCGATCGACCTTCCCATTACTTTGACGATGATCGCCTTCCGCCATGGTGCCCTGATCTGCTCTATCTCCGCTCTTGACAGTCGGATCGTAGGACAAAGTGGATCTTCATCCTCTTCATCTGAGATGTCGTCCTGGTCATCATCATCACTGGACTCGTCGCACCACTCTTCCTGGCTCACATGCATGTCCGCTTGGCCCTTTACTGTCTGCGCATATGTCCGTCTCGCCGTCTCCGAAACCTGCGGAACAAAGGTGTTCGAAATATGAATCGGTTCTCCAGAATCTTGCGTTACCTGCATGGCCATCGGCATCACAAAAGCCCTCAGCTACTCCATCGGAGTCTCAGGGACAGCAGCACCATCCGTAGTAAAATCCGTCGTAAGGTCTGGATGTAAGCCTGATACACTGCCATCGATCATCTTAGCCTTCTTCGTGCTACGTCGGAGCAAATCGTCGTCCTCTTCTGACCGTTGGCCAGAGAGCATCTCAACGTTCAAATCCATTCTAATTCACACCAATAATAATAATAATATAATAACTATAAACATTTTGTTTTTATTATATATATTTTAAAAATATGATCAAATGTCAGCATTTTAGACATTTTCACTCGACTTAATTTTGTAAGTAAAAAATTAAAATTAAAATTTTCAACATTAAAAGTTGAAGATTACCCGTCTAAAAAAAAAAAGGTTTGAAGATTACCTTGAAATACCATTATACAGCTTATGAATGGTGAGTAGCAAAATTAACTCTCCTCTTCAGAGTAAAATTACAAAGATTTTTGAATAACAAAAGATCTCTTATTTGGTTTTCTAACATATTTTCATAACCTAATTAGTTATAGATATTTTACAACAAGAACAACAACAAAACACTCAGAGATGTAATGGAATCACAAGTTGACACTAAAAGATGCCTATCTGCAATACAACACCAAATTGTAATGGCACATCAACCAAGTTGTCATTCTTGTTAGGCACTCTTGTCACGATGGTGTCACAATGCAGGAGTGTGAAGTGAGCAGGGCGACAATGTTGTCTATCCCGTTTGTTTCCAGTAAAACTGCAAAGGGGTGGCTTAAAAATTCCTGCAAAAACACTGAAGCGCAGAAATGGATCAAAGCAACACTAACATGGCAGCCATCCATTAAGGAGTCACAGTTTTTTTAGACAAAAGAAAAGGTTAAAAGATGGTAATAATAGTTTGGTACCTGTTAGTGAACAAGCATTTAAGGTATGTTCCGCCGCTGCTCTTTATGCACTTTCTAAATGAGTTTGAGTTATGAGTTTTGACAAATAAGAAATGATCATCATGAAACAGACAACGAAGTGCTTAGATTGGAACCAGCATATATGCATGCGTACGTCTAAAAAACGTAGCTTAAAGATGTCATGCCAACTATTTAATTTGCAGGGAAAATTGGAAAAGGAACTTAATAATCAAAATAAGGCTCAGATTTATTGTTCTGACATGCATAGTAGAGAAGACCACCGTGGCTGCCAACCCAGTTACACCAGTGAGATATCTGTCAGGCCTTCCAGACAGCTCCACCAGCAGGGTGGTTTTCCATGCTAGATGAACTTCTAAAATAAGTTGCAGAAACAGATGGCAATGATGATATCAATAAGAGTGAGGATGAGGATGGAGAAGCTAAGTTGGATCTCAACCCTGCGTCTAACCCAAAGCTTAAACCACATACACAGAGATGGGCAACCAATCCACAGAATTCCCAAATCCCCTACAGCCTTAGTCATCCGTATCAAAGTGGAGAAAATTGAAAACAGTGAATCTCTATAGATATTTGATACCTCCATATACATATAGAGACAGTTAATTAGATTCTTCCCTAGGATCTTGAAGCCAAGTGTAGAGGATGTGGAGAGTCAGTAACATTGTACATGAGAATTTAACAAAGTGGGGAGGCCTTAGATAAAGAACCAGGATTCAGGTTTGTCTCTTTTTCCTTTTCTTTGGAAAAAAAGGGTCAATGGCATTACCTTCAATTGGAAACAGACAATTAGATGTTAAAAGAGATCAACAAGTATTATTCACAACCATCAAATTTTCCCTTGCAAAAGTGCTATCCAACATGTCTGACTGAATTGTCCCTATGCAAAAAACATTCAAAAAACCAAAACTTTGGCTTTGCACATACAACAATGTTTGCTTACAGTTAAATCACAGACACACCGTATTAATGGTGCTATATACTATCACACACACACATTTACATATATATTAGTTCAACACATTAATGAAGAGTAAGGATGGAGGCTCAGATCTTTTACATGATTGGGCAAAAGTAGAGTAACACCGCCATGGCTGCAAACATCAATTTTGTGCATGTTTACCCTGCCAAGATACAGGTTTTGTTATCTCCATGCCCATGAAACTCTAAGAAAGGTTTTACCACCATCATAGCCTACCAAGATTAACAGTGACATTAAGAGTATCTCAATGAGCAAAAAGCAATGTACGTTGTGTAATAATAACAATAACAACAAAAATAGTGGGTGGATTGCAAATATGATACAGTAATATGAAAGTGAGAGAGTATTCAGTATTGCAGGGATAAACATAGCATAATAGTGCGTTGTAATAATAATTCAGTAGTAGATTCCAAAGGGTTGTTGATTTTGAAGAAAATTGGGGAAATCATTGGCATACAGATGGGCAACCACCCCAAGAACATCCCATCCCTATGCAGCCTTGTTTCCTTCCTGAGTTGAAACACTGCTTTCTGGTCAACCCATACACAATTTTATCATTATCAAAATAAGGCTCAGATGTGTATTTAGATAGGCATAGTAGAGAAGACAACCACCATGGCTGCCAACCCAGTTGCACCAGTGACATGTCACTCTTGCCTCCAAGGTCACCCTGCCATGAATGCATTGGTTTTTCTATGCCCAATAAACTCTAGAGCTTCATCTTCACAGCCCCTTGATGCCCATCCATGAAAAATCAGAAAATGAGAACAAGGATAATCATGAAGAAGAAGATAAATAAGGGGAAGCTGGGCTGGATATCAACCCTAAACCCAAATATGTATACAGGACACATTGGCCTGTATTCATATTCAACAAAAGAACAATTATGTAAGGGTTGTTAAATGCTGAAATACAGACATACAGAGATGGGCAACCACCCATAAAAAAGCCCCAAAACCTCCTGCACCATCATTCATTTCTGAGGTGAGAAAACTGAAAAGGAATTAAATCTCATGACAGAGATTTGATGCAAAGTGTACAAAAGTTCCAAGCCAAATATAAAAGGTTTGGCCAAAATTGTCAAAAATGAATAAATGTTTGCATTTTTTTTCAACAGCATATTCTGGAATGAAGAGTAAGAATGGAGGCTCAGATCTTCTATATATGAATGGGCAAGAGGAGAGAGACACCGCCATGGCTGCAAACCTCAGATTCATCCGGATTTGCCCTGCCAAGATATGGATCACATTGCCTCTAAGCCCATGTAACTATAAATAGCTCTTACTACCATCATCACAGCCTATTGGTGGGAAAGAAACAACGCCTCTCTAATAGAAGCGTCAATTGCAAATCAATTGTTATACCATGGACCATAAAGGACAACAAATTTATCATTATACCATGGACTAGAAAGCACAGCACATATATACTAGTACTACTCCGTACTGCATTTCAAAAGGGTAATTGATTTTGACGATTAGGGGAAATCATTGCAATGCAGGGAGGAGAAATCACCCTTAGAAACTTCGCATCCCCCTGCAACCTCTCAGCAGATTAGAGCATGTGGCGTTTTGGGCATTGTGCGCCCTGGTGCACGATATAACGATTGACTTTTACGTTGTCGATGGCCCAAAATCCCTCCTCGCCCACAACCGGCCTAAAGGAAAGTACTTTCCCCCTAGGGGTGTGACAATCATGGTCGGGATAGCGAACCAAATTGGATCTGGTCTTTCCTTCATTTAGACAATAGATCCAATTTTATTATCAAAATGAGTCTCAGATCTGTCATTTAGACAAGCATGGTAGAGAAGACAACCCCCATGGCTGCGATCCAGATCGCACATGAGATATATCTCTGGATCACAAATCGCCACGCCATAGAGGGATCGGCTTCCCTCCATGGTTAATCAGATGGTTAAGTCCCATGAATTTCGTGGTGGCTGTGGCTGTAGCGGTGGCGGTGGCGCCGAATGAAAAAGAGGGCGAGAAGGATGAAGATGAATGAGAAGCTACCGATTGCTCGGATCTCAGCAGCCAATACGCTGGGGTAATCCAAGATTCCGTGAACCAAACACCCCTTAAGAATGTGGGAGTGAATTGTAGGGACAAAGATAGCTTAAGCTATAAACAGCGTTACCAAACAGAGCCATAGATAGATACATACATACATACATACATAAGGGTTGTTTACATTGTGGAAAATCATCGGTTTACAGAGACAGGCAACCACCCTTAGAAATCCCCATGGCTCTCTGCAACCTCAGCCTCCTCAGTATTGCAAGTTTCTTTCTCCCCTTTTCAGTGGCAAACAAATTAAGACTAGTGAAGGAGATGCAAATATTTTCTACCGGAAGCACACAAATAAGGGGGCGTTTAGTTCAAATCAGTATATGTATATAATTGAAGAAGGAAGATGTTTTTTTTGTCTCAGCTAAAGTTCAAGCTGATAGCTAGACAACATGTTTATAGTTTATATTATATGCTCATTATATATTTGTGTGTATAATTCACCAAAAAGGGGTGTTTCGCAATTTGCTGATTGTGATGAAATCAGTGGCTATGTTTCAGAGAGGGGCAACCACCCTTAAGAACTCCCATGCCTCTCTGAATTTGAGCCTCATTCTCACAACAGAGATTTCACAAGATGCCAAACAAATTGATAAGCACCCCACACCATGGGCCCATGGCCATAAAAAAATCTCAGCTACTCAATGATTTGCTAAGCAAGTCATATATATAAGTTGCAGACGAATGCGGAACGATGGTGCCAATGGTGCCTACGTTGCGAACAAACCAAGAACAGCCCAGCCTTATATATGACTATACGAGTATACGTGGGGTATCCCAGCCAATTGAAATCTCTATTCTTTTCAAGAGACCATGAAGACATGGCTACTTACCACTGAAATCTCCATTCTTTTCAGCTGAAAATCCAACCAAAAAAGACATCAGAACAGGTTTTATAAACCATGAGACCCAGGTTCGATTCATGCAATCATCAGCATAGCTACTGCAGCTGTGACGCTCAGATTTGAACTTGAAAACATCATCACAGCCTTGTTGAACTAATCGCAGCCCTAGGGGGGTGTATTCCATCAAAACTTCCACCAATACTGCCCAGATCTGAACCACGCAACCATGGCAGCAAAATCCGCCAAGCTACGGGTCTTCTCTGTCGCCGATTCGATTCCGACTGGGCTTACGATGATCAAGGCTCAGATTTGGTGCCGGGCAAAGGGTTATTCCTACACAGCCATGGCTGCAAAGAAGCCGGGTAGCCTGTTCGCCCCGCCAAGATACGGGTCGGATAGCCCTTGCCCGATAAATCCGCTCAGAGAGAAAGAGAACAGTATCATCACAGCCTCATGAATCCAGGATTACCAAAGAAAGAAAGAAAGAGGATATTATTATTGTTGTTTCAGGGAAAATTGATGAAATTGTAAAGAAGCTCAGAAAGAATGAGAGCGTCAGCTTCAGAACCACGAAATCTGAGGGCTAAACCCTGAGATTTGGGGGTTATGTTAATGTTGCATTATCCATACTTCAATTCCATGAAAGAGGGCTGTTGAATTGTTTTGGAGATGAAATCAATGGCGTAACAGAGAGGGTCAACCACCCTCCAAGAAACCCTAATCTCTCTGCATGCCTCATTCATGTGTGTTGGATGTGGATGTGAACCGAAGTACCAACACAAACAATGGAAAAAGTTGAACCTTTTGGGAGAAGACAATGGAAAGAGTTCTACTACAGCGTAAATCTTCGGAACTCAAGAACTTGTGTTCCATTTGGTACTTATTTGTCTTATACTCCGTACTAGTTTTTTTTTTTTTTGGCTAGGTCCTATGTGTTAAAATTTTATCACTATGACTAAGTGAGTTGTCTATGCAAGCTTATTTAATTCTTTTCATCAGCATTTTGGTTGTTTTTTTTAAAGACATAAGAGATCACAGTAGTTCAATTTGATTAAGAGATTTCTGCAATCAGTTAGCAAGGTTCTAGTCTGAGGTCTATCTTATGTGATTCCCATGAAGGTGTTGATAAACGCCTTCAGAGTCAAGTTTCACATCCACTGCACTGAGCCACATATCTCGCACTAGTGACAAACCCTTACGAAGCCCCCAAAGCTTCGCAATAAAGCTTGTCGTTTTTTCAATTTTCACAATAAAGTCATGAATCCAATTCCCTTCATGGACCCTAATGATCTCGCCAACACTCCCTAGCCCCGTGACTGCTTTTCGAGCTGCATCTTTGTTCATTTTTACCTTGCTTGCGGCCGTGGGAGTCTACATAACCAAACGTTGAATACTGCGTTCCATAGCCACTCGCCTCTCTTGAAGTTGATCAACTTCCTTTGCATCTTTCTTTGCCTTTTGGATCACCTCCATTGCCAACTAATGTTTTCCATTGAAGACTATGTCATTACAAGCTTTCCACAACTGCCAGACCACGTAAATAAACAAGGATCCCCATGTCACATTGTCTTCCATTTTATTAACATTTACACAATTAGTCTCCAACCATATTGCTGGTAAAGAAAAGTCCGATGACCTAGTTATAATAAGTGAATTGTGCCAGTAAATTAAGCTCAATAAAAAATTTAAAATAAATAAATGCACAATACAATTTTTAAATAATAAATAATTAATACTAATTTAGTTGCTATAATAATAATATAAAAAAAAAAACAAAATGTTCGTTGTTGTTGTTGTTGTTGTTGTTATTATTATTATTATTATTATTATTATTATTATTATTAAAAAGTGAAAAAAAATATTTTATAATAAATAAGTTAAGAATAATAAATAGTTAATAAAATATTTTGATATTAAAGTCTGTACATAAATTAAAAAATACAAAAATAAATTATGGTAATTTTAAAAATGTCTTATCATTGTAAAATGAATAAATTAAAATGTATAAATTATCAATTAACATTATTATACCAACATAATTTTTGTTCTCAATTTGTTATAATTTTGCAACATTAACTTATATTATATTTAGTAGAAATATTTGATGAAATGAGAATTAATTATAGATTTATAATAGTAAAAAGTAGTTTACATATTATTATACAAAATAAAAATTTTATACTATCTAACTAATTTATAAGAGAACATTTAAGACATTTAAATTATGTTTCTTTTATCTATTAAACTTTTTGCATGGTGTACTATAATAATAGTTATAATCTCACAAATCCATGGAGATAAGAGATTTTGAAACTATATAATATGTATTGATGGGTATCAGCAATGGCAGATTGAAGATGGAGAGAAATTAGATTGTGAAATTAGTTGTAACGTATTGATGGAGATTGGCAATAGTGAATTATATATGGAGATTATAATATTTTGAAATGAATTGTTATGTAATAATGGAGATCGGTGCTTAAGGATTGTAGATGGAGATTTTTTTTTTAAAGGTCGTAGATGGAGATTAATTGTAGTATAATCGCACAAACACCTAGTAAGAGGTAAAAATGTCAAAATGATAGATATAGTGTTTGGTACTCAACTTAAGATTTTATAAAATTATTAATATATAATGTTATTATAAAAAATATAAAAAAAAAAAACATAAAGTTTCAAATATATATACTCCATCGTCTTGGTATATATATATATATATATATATACCAAGACGATGGAGTATATAATTTTGGTAGAGAGCTTAAAGGCAATGGGGTGCATTGATACACCATGTCCAATATGACTCCATCACTGATTTTACTTTTGCATTGTGAAGTTTAACACTATCCTTATCTATGTAATACTCTCTAACTTTAAAAAAAGTCTCATTTTCTATACATATAATTAAAAAAAAAAAATAGAATTACTACCAAATGACAGCAAAAACTACGGAATGCAAGCTTGCATTCTAGTTTTAAACAAAAATTGATTTTATTTTTCCACTTCACCTACAAAACTTTTATGGTTGAGGAGTTGAGGAGAATCTAATTCCATAATTATTATAATATAGACCACTATTATAAAATTTATGGTTCATTTTTAGATATATTATTAAAAAATGAACATTTTCGATACATTAAAAATATACATTTGTTATAAATATATTATTATGATGGGCATTATGGGCATTCAATACATAACTGTTGTAACGGTCATCATTAGTATCGTCATTATTATTTGTACATTATATATGCTTGTTGTAACATTGTATTGAGTCGGCCAGTGAAATGGAATGATGACTCTCCTTGTCTCTTGTTCTACCTCTCCTTGTCTCTTATTCTACATTTGCATATTATATTATATTGATCCGTTTCTCGGATGATGGCTACAAGCTCAATAACGGATTCTAAATCAGCTATACACAAAATTGTGTCCTAACTTAAGTTGTGCAAGAAGGATGTTTCTGCTACAAACTTGATTAAGAAAACCTTGTCTCTTTTTATGAGCAATGCTATTTAAGTAAATGGCCGATTTCCCGATTATCCTATTAAACATATAAGGATGGATTAGGCATTACGGTGAATCATCTTGTACCTTATGACCCCACCTGAAATGGTCTAGCTGAATTTTTAATTTAAATTGTTTGTTAAACCATTATTTTTCAAAAATTCAATTTGTCGGATATTTGTTGGGAAAATGCAGTATTCATGCTGCTACTTTAATTCTAAAAAATTCGACGCACTACATATCCTTATCCCCCTCTTACATCTAATACGTGGTCTCAAATCAAACATTTCTTAATTTGCGTTTCTATTATTATGAATGCAGTCCATTCTATTATATAACCACCATAATGTATCAATCTAAACCTCCATCTGTTGTCTCCAATATTTAAAGCCCCTGAGAGAGACGCAATGGATACACTGACTGCATGAAGATAAGTTCTCGGCATTAGGGGGATATATGATCAAATTGAAATGGTATGCAGAGAAAAATGATAAATTCTAATGATAATCCTGCAGATTGTACTATATCCCTCTCTACACTCTATTGAAACAATGACTTTACTTTAAGCTATGTAGAACATGAAAATTGTTATATTCAGGGGGAGACTGAGAGTACATTCACTCGAAGTAATCCCGTAAATTGGGTCAAAAGACTAATAGATCATAGATGTACTTTTTGCAACATATACATACCATGTACTCTTTTCCTCACTAGGTTTTCCTATTGGGTTTTTCTAGTATGGTTTTTAACAAGGCATGGGTATGATATATTAATGTCAATGGGGAAAGATCCAAAATAAATATTTAAGTAGACAAACTCCAAAATCCTGAAGATTATGCCTTGAAGGCTTATGGTTGTAATCTTTTTCCCTTAACTAAGTTTTTCCCACGAGATTTTCTTAAGTTAAGTTTTTAATGAGACAACCAGTACAATGTATGTTTTACAAATATCATGTACTCATTTCCTCAACTTGGATTTTCCCATGTGGTTTTTCTAGTGAGGTTTTTAACGAGCCATGAATATAATTACCCATAAATCTTGTACTCATTTCTTGTCTAGTTTTTTTTCGGTAAATTATGTCGTGCAACCGTGTGCACAATGCATGATGCACACGGTTGCAAAAACGGCATCGTTTTGATTAAAAACGACGCGTTCGATTTTTTTTAAAAAAATTCATTTTTTATTGTCGTTAACGGCGTTGTTATGATGTGCATAATTTGAACTATATATCTAGAATTAATGAATTATATACAATGCTGAAAATTAGGGAATTTCCGACCACCTGAAAGTGATCTTAAATCAAGTCGGAAGTCTTATTCCGACCACTTTTGGTATCCGAAAAAACCTTTATCGCTATTTCCGACTACCCACAAGGTGGTCGAAAATAGCATCCAATTTTGTAAAATGGTCGGAAAAATCGAGTACTACAAAGATGGGCGAAAATTCCCAACTCAGTTTAAAAAATTTAAATTGCCGAATTTTTTTTCGACCACCTTTACTTTGTGATCGGTATTTTCGACTACTAAGTAAAGGTGGTCGGAAATTCTGACCTATTTCCCTTCGATAAAAAATTGAAAAAATGTCACATTTTTGACCATTTGTTTAGGTGGTCGAAAAAGTGGTCAGAAAATCAAAGATTTCTAGCAGTGACATTCAGAATTAGTAAACTATATATCCATACTGGTTACTGGTACTCTATTTTGGCTTATGGCAGTTCGATGCGTCTGTGTATTCAGAATGAATGAACTATATATCCAGAATTAATGAACTATAAATTCAGAATTAGTGAACTATATATCTAGAATTAATAAACTATATATCTAGAATTAGTGAAGTATGTATCCAGAATTAATGAACAATATATCAAGAACTAGTGAACTATATATCCAGAATTAGTGAACTATATATCTACACCGAAAATAGTGGAAATCCCGTCGATTGGAGTTTAAAAAAATTGATTGGTGGAGTTACACGGTGCC